GATTTTTTGCTCTGATGATGCCTGATATCTGATCCCTTCAACACCTCATGATCGCACAAACTGGTGTGCTTCTTCCATGTGGGCTTTGTTGCTTCTGAGCTAGATGGCTGCTTGTTTGCCTTCAAACCTTTAAGACCCCAGATGCTATATCTGTTGATAGCCGGGCACCATCAGCTTTCTTTGCCACATTTGCTTATGCACCCATTTGTCTTCAGCAATCGTATCGTGGAGGTGAGCACACAATGATATGATTTTTTTGTTCTTTGATGCCTGATAACTGATCCCTTTGGCACCTCGTACTCACGCAGGCAAAGCCAACTTTATGTGCCCACCTTATACTCTGAATATATCCAGTTGGGTTTATGAGAGATCTTCTGAAAGCATGTAGGCAGCTTTGTCTGAGTTTCCCAATCCTGAAAGGCATCTGCTAAGGATTGACAGCTCCAGTGGAAATGGTAGCAGGTACTGGCAGCCAGGTAAGTTTAAAGAACAGGGATGAATTGTTATAAATCCTCATAGTACAGACCATCCTACAACCCCCAAGAGCATGCTTGCCCTGAACTCTCCATCACCTACCCTAACCTATGCTGAGGGGCTCATGACCCTTTTTCAAGTTCTTATTTTTAATTCAGAGCATGATAGTCTATATAAAGTGAAAATGCATTTTACTACTTTAACTCCAAAAAACCAAACTCACTGCATCAAGTCAATGCCGAGTCATCATGGCCCTATAGGACAAGATAGAATTGGCCTTTCCAGTTTCCGAGACTATAACTCTTTACAGAAGTAGAAAGCCCTGTCTTTCTCCTGCAGAGCAGCTGCTGGTTTAGAATTGCTTGCTACAAGTAAGCAGTCCAAAAGTAACTTCTATGCCACTAAGCCAATTCCCTACTTTAACTAGTATATTTGAATAATTACAGAAAAGCCTTTAAAACCGAGTTCTTGGTATTACTCTAGGCTTAGAGAAGTTTGTTCTCAAGGAAGAACAACTAAACACAATTATATATAATATATATGTAATATATATATATGAAGGGGTACACACACCCCGAAAATACAGAATTTTTTTTTTTTTTAGCATTCTTATTTTTACTGTTCAGAGCGTCTCAGGGGAGGGCCAGCGTGTCTGCTCAGACTCCGCTTCACAAACTCTCAATTGGCTGATGAGGCCAGTAGGGATCCTTGGTCTTGTCTAACTTGGTTTCAGGGAAGACTTCATTCAAGTCGTCAATGGTCATCTGGTCAAAGGGAATGATGTTCCTCATCTTCTCCACCTGCTTCTCGTCTTCCTCAATCCTGGTCTTGGAAAGAGACACACACTCGGCACAGGTCTTGACATCTTCTTTTTCTTCAGCATCCACCAGGGCAGTGAACTTGTCCTCT